TTCTTCCCCCGCTTCAGTCAGAAGGATGTGGTGACGGCGGCGGCGGATGACGCATTAGTCGCGCGACACAACTAATCGATGATTAAATTTGTTGCCAACGCTTTTAAAAGTCGATTTTTATCAATTTTATCGATTTGTTGTTGCAGCCCTAATTTCAATGGTGAAGTCCTCTGGAAATCTTCAATAATTGTTGTTGATTGCAGATGTGTCTAGTAGTTCCCATTGATTCTGCTTGAAGATGTCAGGAGGGAGGTGTTACTATATTTGGGCAAAAATGGCCGGACTCGGTGACTGCAACGAAATTTTATTTTATTTTTTTTTACAGATTAATGCAAAATTAATTTAATCACCGCAAACGTATTAGTTTTAGGTATAAATAATGATCCAGACTTTCCCTTTAACCTCTTCCAGCCTTTCAGGGCGAACGACCAACTTGAGATTCGTACCTGGTGTCGTCACAGGAGATGTTGTCGAAGAAGGACTTGGACTTGTCGTAGTAGCAGTTGGGGCCCAGCGGGTCGCCCTCGTCTTCGTGGTTCCCCTCGCTGTTCTGGGTTTCCACCCCAGAGTCTCCCTTGTCTTCTCCGTTCAGAGCTTTCTCCGTCTTCTCATCTAGGACAGGACAGAGTCACATTTCAGCTGCAGAACAGCCGAGAACCAAAGTCTGGTTCTGATGGATCTTTACGAAAACATTACAGGGAAATGTTTCACTGCATTGATGTTTCCCTTAAATTTCCCAGTAAAACCAGTAGCGGCCCAACCTTTCAGCTTCAGCTTGCTCTGGAACTCCCTCTCGATCTCCTCCTTGTTGAACTGGGCGTTGGCGCTCTCAAAGTCAAAGTCCTTCTCGAACTTCATGGGCCCGTCTCTGCGCACGTTGAAGCGCCCCCTGCCGTGGTGCCCACCTCTCTGGCCACGCCGGTTGGCCGATCCGCCGCCGCCTGCTGGAGACAGAAGCACTGCGTTAGCCATGAGGGTGAGGGAGGGGGGGCAAAGAGGAGGACAAGAAGCAATGGAGGTGAGGATGAAGAGCAGCAGCATGGCTTCAGTTAGTGACACTGAACGATGGAGGAGATGCAGACAGATGAGGTCTGAAAGGCAGACGGAGAGCATGCAGGATGGCTGCAGAGGAGCAGACATTAACCTGTGGAGCGTTTACTGGGCTCTCTGCCTTCGCCTCGCGCCTGCTCGCCCTCAGCTCTGCTCTGGACGTCTGATCCTGGAACAGCAACACAGTTTGAGTTTCTGCACTAATCAGGGAGCAGCTGCTCTTCTTACAAACTAAGTCCTGAACAACTGAACTCTGCAGAACGTCATGAATGGGCTGGATTCCTGCAGCTTCTGTCCAACAGGACAAAACCTGCTAACTTTAGACTCAACTAGGGCTGCAACAACGAATCGATAAAATCGATAAAAATCGACTTTTAAAAGCGTTGGCAACGAATTTCATCATCGATTAGTTGTGTCGCGCGATTAATACGTCATCCGCCGCCGCCGTCATCACTGCCACTTGACAGAAAGTGGAGTGTTGGTGGAGTGTTGCCAACTCAGCGACTTTTCAGACCCCTCCAGCGACCATTTTTCAAAAAAGCGACTAGCGACAAATCTGGCG